GTGCTCGCCGACTCGGGCGTCGCGGCAGCCCGACGCGAGTCGGCGGCGCCACTCGGCGGCGGCAACCTCAAGCGATCCCACCACGGACGGGTGAGTACGCCCCCCGGCCGGCGCGCCTGCCGGCCTCCCGCATCCCGCTGGGGCGGAACGCGCGCGCGCGCGCGCGCGGCGCGGGCGCGGCTCGGGTCCCTTCCCAGCAGCTTCCCGCCGGCTCGCTGGCTCCGCTCCGACCGCCCGACCAACCCCAATTTTGCTACACGTAAATGATGGCCCTCGCGGGGCACAGAAAATGAATTAAAAAGCTTTCACTGGGCAGATGAAACACGCCCGTCTGCAGTGGGCGTGTGGGAAGCGAGTTGCGCTTTCTCTCGCCCAGCGGACTGTCAAAGTCGGCCTGCAAGGGTGGGAGCGCGGTGTGGGGGGCGGCGGGGCGTGGGCGGGGGGGGGGCTCGCCCGAGACGCGCGCCGGCAAGCGAGGGGAGGATGGAGGTCGGTGAGGGTCGGGGGCGATGTGAGAACAAGGGGAGGGGGCGTCGGGCGGGACGGCGCGGGGCGCGACTATGCAAGGCAGTGACGGCGTTTCTGTCGCAGGGAGAACGCCCACCATCACGTGGAGGACAGCATATTGAAGCATGGACTCAATATCTGTTCGTCTCTTCCATAGCAAGCGTCGCAGAATGTATCATGTAAGTGGGCGCCTGCACTGGCCCTCGATGCGAGATCGGGTAACGCGCGCCTCAGTCGCTAAGAAGGGAGGCGAGCACGCGGCCCGCGCGCCCGTTTTCAGCCCGATCTGCCGCGTTGAACCGCCGCGCGTGCGTCGCCCCGTCGCGCGCTCGCCCCCGCGCCTCCCCTCCCCGGCTCAACCGCGCGCCCCGCGCATTGCTTGCAGCCGGCCACACGCAAGGTACTTGCAGCCCGTCGCTGTCGCCGCTGGGCAACGCTTTCTCCGTATCGACAGCAGCGGTGCTGTCCAGGTGAGCCCCTCGCGCCCGCGGCGCACCCCACCTCCCCCTCCCTCCCCGCCCCTGGCGCGACGGCGCGCTGCCGCCCGATTAAATCGATGCGCTGCGGCGGTGGGGGGGGAGGTCCTGTGGCCCGGGCGCCCGGGCGGTCGAGCGCCTTCAAAGATCGCCGCGCAGCGCCCGCGCTGGCCGCCGCCCGGCCCCTCCCCGAGCGATTGTCCTACGCGCGCGGGGGAGTCAAGCGCCGCGCCCGCTTCCACTGGGAAGGCTCTGACAGGCGCTCGAAAGCGGTTTCGCTTTTCGGCTCGGTGGCCTTGTTCTTCTAGACTGCTTAATTTTGGTGGTTTTTAATCTATTGAGAGCGAGAGTACTCACGTTGATACCGGTTGCGAGTCTGGGTAAGCTCCGTTCATCATATTTAATTTGGATGAAGAAGTGAATTTCTATCAAAACGTTTCTCAGGAACTCGTGGCTGTGGCGAGAGGAGATGTCGTGTCCCCACTCACAGCATTACACTATAATAAACATTATAGCAACACCGATTACAATTTTAACGCGCACTTTTTTGTATGAGGGCCAACACCCTACAAAACTGAATAGTATAATAGGAATATTTTTCATGTCGACTAGAATTAATGAGAGACCGACGCATGCAGTATCATTCCATTATCAATATAAATAATGAAATCAAGCCGGTACCTCTCACCACAGACCAGTATTAGAAAAAACATTCCTTGCATTTGAAAAAATCAGTCGTCAAGATCCCATTAGCAAATAAAACAATAGAGACACGTACTTTTAATTGTAAACGTCTTATAATGAGTATGTAATGCCTAATAGTGAAATGCCGTGAATACGCGCAAATGTATTTTGTCACGCGTATCACTCGTGGAATGACGGAGATCTGCACAATGAAAAAAGGAGAATTGAGAGAGAGAGAGGAGAGGGGAGAGAGAGAGAGAAGGAGAGAGAGAGAGAGAGAGAGAGAGGGAGTACTTTGAATGAACAGAATGTGTCACTTTCTGTGGCCAACGAATTTCGAAAAATAAAAAACTAATATTTGCATTAAATCCTACAATAATAAATGGCCTAATATTTGTATTTTTACTTTCCTTACAACTTTTATGCTGAAATGAGAAGTCTTTATGGGGACACCGGATATATGATGTAATGGACGTGCTTGAAAAGTTGATCACCGCTTGTGAAGAACTTACATAATTAAAGTAGCAATAAACTCAATGAAATCACGATATGAATGATTCTGAATGACTAAAAGAAGATCGCTATTAAATAATATATCGCGGATAGTTCTTTTTTATACTCACGAGAAGCCTTTTATTTTCACTGGCCACACAGCTCGATATTCGACGAATGAATTTGTATCGATGTGGTACTGCAGACACACTCCTTTTTCCTCTCGAAACGGTTTTCCATTGACGATGATTTAGACTACGGAACGGCAATCAATCAGGATAAGGGGGCCTGAAGGGCTTCCGCAATTTTTTTTGTAGCAGAACCTTATGCTGAATTCGACTTCCTGACATTCCGTAACTGCCGAGTTCTAAAACCAGCCACGACCGGACGAGGACGGGGGGACGATATGGCAACTTCCTCGGCGAACACGATAGTCACGAGGCTCGGAAAGCGAATAAGTCGGCCATACAAATACCCATGAATGAAACTGTTCTCTGGGCTTGATAATGCTGTAACCCGAGTTAGGAGGCAAGGGAGGAGATCTAAAGAGCATTTTCCATGGCTTTTACGACCAAGTTTTATTCGAACATCATTTCTTTGTGTTGTTTATTCATTGAAGCAGGTTAAGTGAAGAAAAAACTGCATAAACTGGCTACAAATTTAATTGAAACCTTATGCAAGTGACATATCACAAATTGATGTGCTTTTTATACTATCGCGAAGCAAGAAAACGCATAATGTTCTGAATTCAAGTAATTCATCTAACATTATTCTCTTTTTAAACATCTTCAAAAATAATTCGAAAGACCCGATGAATGTCTCGAGTAAGTCATAATATATGTTTTATTCATGAAACAAGTTTTTGTGCAAAAATTTTTAAACGCTTTGAATTGCAGTGTCCGGCGGTACAAAAAGGATACCATGAGAATTATGCTTCAGATATTGGTAGCATGCTCTCAAGGGGATCCGTATTTGCTTTTCAAATGAAACGTGTGCATCGATTTTCACTTTGTGTGCATATTTTGTCGGTATTGCATTATGGAAGGGTATACTCGTAAGAGTTCGTAAATGGATAACATGGAGGGGCGTGACGAGACTCGACGATATGAACTTCTGCGAGTCATCAGTTGCCCTGGTCGAGAGCGCCGCAGAATAAGTACTCGCTTCCGGAAATGTGGTAGCTTCACCCTTTGACTGAGGGAATTGAGACATCGTTGGTCTTCAAGAAAACCAAAATTCACCATTTTGAAGAAAGATCTATTTATTGTCTGATTAGGGAAATGAAAAAAATAGGTTTATTTGAAACATCTCAATGATCTTTCGAAAGTTTCACTCAGAGACGGGTCCAAGAAGTAGATCACTTTTCTTCTTTTATTTTGCAAATTTGATGGATGATCCTCTCAAAAATATTTGAATTGTTTTAGTTCCCAAAAGAGATTGTGAGCCAAATTCTATGGTTTTCGACAATTATACTTAAGTGAATGATGTCTCTCCAGTTGATATAATTTACCTCTTCACAGCAGAACGCATTTTTTATTTAGTTGTTCCTTTTAGAACTCAAACTAATCCGTTTATTGTGAGATGCATTATTTTTTTAAATAAATGGATTTGTATACTTTTTTAGTTTTTTGAGGATAAAAAACGTTCATAACCCTAAAAAATAAATACGAATTTATCGATCATAATCATTAAATCCTTAAAAAATATGCATTTTAGCTAAGGATACTTCAAATGGAATTGGCCTTGATTATTAATTACAATTAACTGAAAACATATATTTATTATGAGCATTCTTAACGAGCGATTATGATTTTGTTTGATTACGTAGACAATTTTTTTTATTTTCAGTTCAATTAGATGCTACTCTAAAGTGTTTGCTTCAATTGAATTGTAACAAGGTGTGTACGTAAGCTTCGCGTCGAATCCATGAATTCTGGCTATCCAGCAACGACGCGGCGACTCGGATAGCGAGAATCTGTAAAAAAGGGTTGTAAATACATATAAAGTAATGCTGGCATACGGAAAATGAAGATTGTCAAGTTATCAAATGAATTACATAATTTTTGTCAGTTATGATTTATGGTGCTAGTTTAGTGTAGTGGAAATTTCGAATTTATTGAGTAAACAATTCACGTGTATACTAATTTTGGGGGGGGTTTTTTTATCCGGTTTTTACTAACAGTTTTAGGGACATTGGTTTTAAGTGGTTTTCAATTCAATTCGTTTTTATGAATCATAATATTCATTATAATGTTTTACTTATAAATTATTCACCGACCTATTTTTTTGTATAGATCACACATCATTTACAACGCTTTCCATTTAGTTTGTACTGTTACGTTCAAATCATTTATAGGTCATTTTATATTATATTTCAACCATGTACATTGGAAATTATTGAGTTATATATGGCAATGCAAGATGTGGGATTTTGGGAGGGAGTGGCCCCAGCACACCAACTCACATCAAATTCTGACGCCCCCATTCGTTATGGAAAACCACACACTCTGTTGTATAAAGCTGTATGCTACGAAAAAATGGCGGTTGGGACATTTCATCATAATCCATCGATATTAAATCCACATAGTGTGTTACCTGAATAGTCATTACTTCAGCCTGGTGGGGGCCAAAAAACAAAGGAAATTTTTTTTATTTACGGAAAAATGTAGAAATATGTTATATAATTGATTGGTGTTTCCTGGGCGTAACTGTTAGTGCCATTACTACGTTATGCAGTGATGTTTATGCGGAATTAACGGTCTTGC